CGGCCGCCGTTCCACACAACCAGATTTAGCGTCCCAATAAACGGTTGAGCCTCCGTTGCCTTAGTAATTGGGTACCTGGTGTCGGATAGGAGCGCAACAGAAACAATAATATATTTGCGCTCGTGTGCATGCAAGTCCCACATCGAAGCCTTCAGAAATAGATTTACGAAATTGCAAGTTCGAGCATCGAAATTTAGTAAAGAGCCATTAACTCGACTGGGAAATGCCTTGGCCTTTAAGCAAACATGTAGCGGAATAAAGCGGCTTTAGCAAAAAAGCTAACAGCTCAAGTGTACTGAGTGCGATCGAAAACTCGCGAGTGCAATTGGGAAAGTGATGGAACAATCCCTCATTCAAATGGTGGTTGTTTATGCAAATACATAGATATCATTATGATTAAAAGACTACTTCATCGAAAAGGTCGTTTAAGACTTCATGAGACCCCAACTGCATCCCTCGGCAAGCACAAAACGTTGAGCCTGATGACTAAAGAGCTTCGTGGTATACAGGCAGATTATACAATAAAAAGATAAATCATTGGAATCATGAAAAATCTCCCTTAAAATTGTGATGAACGCAAATGATGTAGTTTTGGTAATGATTTACCTGACGTCATGCTCCGCCGGGTGGACTTTTGTGTCTGTAATAAAAGAGGAAGTCAACTTTTGCAAGATTGCACCCTGAAGAGAAGTAATGCCGGATCTGGAAAAGTCAGTCATCTTGGTTCCTTACCACTGGAAGAAGGTACATTACAGGGATTGAGACCCAAATTTTTGTTTAAGTGTAATGTTATGGGGGGAAGTAATCTAGGTGGTCAGCACATGAAAGTGGAAACCATTTTTGACAAAGGGTTAGTTTGTGATACCGTCACTCGAAAATGATGCCACAGCTGTGGAAAGTGGTCTAACATGGCTGTAATGTATTGGTAACTAGCACCGTGTACTTTGCAAGGCTACAGACCGAATGGACGTACCAGGACTTTTGGGCCTGGTGAAAATCCCCGCTATTTATGGTAAACCGTAGAAACTTTTAGGAAATAACTTGAGAGCCAAATAATATAACTTTTGGACTGCGTGAATTAGTGTGATCACAGCTCAAAACTGGCCCCTGCCAAAAAACATCTAGACAAATGTATTCGTCAAGGTGTCTGTGTTATGTTCACCCGCGAGAGGATTAGTTAGACCCCCAATCAATTCACAAGTTTTGCTTTTCTCGAACCGCCTTATTTACAACGAGATGTTATTTTCATCACGATGTTGAAGGTGAAACGTGGGTTTCCGAGGCCATATTACTCATTCACACTACTGCCGGTCAGTTTGCATGTAATCTGTTGTCGCAACCAGTTCTTAGTGCAACTTAGCAGTTTTTGTTAAAATGAGCGAAAACTTGGGGTTTTTGGACTTTACATTCGTAGTGTTAAAACTATTTCTTGTGAATGACCATATTTTAATCGATTGACAGGATCAGTTCATAAAACAAAAATTTTGACCACCATCAATAATATCAGACTGGACTGGAGCCAAAGTAGCACGTCCAAACTTGTGATGTCACACTCGGAGATAAACTCGATGCCTAGGCTATGAAATCAGGCCGACCTCTGTACCTATTTACGGTTATGCTGAATACATTCCTCAGATCGGCAGTGTGTTTTCTTTAAGGGAAAGATCTGTAACGAAGTGAAGCAAAAAATACAAAATGAGAAGCTTCTTTAGGAATCAGCCGACAACCACCGACATTTAAAATGGTATTAACTAGTAGGGAGGCGCTAAATCCGATGCTTTTCTCTCGAAAAAAACCACATTGACAAATGGGCGACCTGAATATTAACCTTATTTGCCCTGATCTCATTGTAGGCACCGGGTTCGAATCTGTCACTAACCCTTTAATTCCAAAACGCCAACTCCAACAAAAGTAATTTACCTGGCCATTACTGTTGTCACTGTCGTAAGCTGGGAAGACAGTTTTGTCTCAATGGATTTGTCCCCTTAATTAATCATGATCATGATCATTTTTTTTCACGTAAAGCTCTGTTTGTGCGATTAAACTCAGAAAGCAGTCCTTCCCTAGACTAGAGTTCCCTCATTTCAAAAGGAATGTAATCAATTTTTACATGAGGCTAAATGCGTGTGGTCCTTGCGCGAAGAATCAAGAGGCATACAGAAATTTGTGATGCTTTTTTAGCAGGAAGAATGCGCTTTTTAACTAATTGGGCGGAACTTCTGAAAATTTTTATATATTAGGCTCACCTGTTTGCCAATAGTTATATTAAGGGTGTAAGCTAACTCTCCATCATTTTTTAACTAAATGGATATTTCTCTATTGAAGGAAACTGATTTAACCTGCTCTTCATGCTAAGTAATGATGGACAGCTGCTTCAATCTTTTCATAAGCATATTAGCCAGGCATCCAGCGTAATGGATCATTAAAATTCCAAATCTCAGAGTCTACTTATGCGACCTTTTTATTGAGTTTTGACAAACTTTTTACAAGCTTTGGTGGTTACTCTTTCTGTTCTTTACCACTCAAATTAGAAATCAACATCATATTCGCAATTACTTTAACTACGTTGACCTAACGGTAAAGAGTGTATAGAGGCTGGCAGCATAACATCCGAGGTTACCTCAAATCACGGAGGTCTTAAGGACGAGAAACACTAAAGTTGTGTTTGTGCGAAAGCACATAACAAGGTCAAGGTTGCGAAACTCCGCAATCATGAGATTCTGGCTGACAGTCGTTCATTTTATGCTTCAAATTAACCTCAAAGTTCTTAAGAGTAGCTCCAGACGAGATATTTCTGCAGCCATTTTTTCATCACCGGGGTGGGGGAAGGTGCTAACAGTTATCACGTAGTGTGAGACAACCCGATTTCACACCGAATTGGTGACGAAACAACCACACAGCAAATTGCGCTCGATAACAAAATTATAACCTGGTCACAGGTTGCAACATAAACTGGTAGTCGGACTCTATATCAGTGATCCCCAAAAATTAAGTATGAACAAAGTGAATTTGAAATCATGCTTTGGATTAATCTAAGACAAGGCTCCATTATCAATCCAAAATCAGTGAATGAAAAGTGACCTAATTAATCAGTATAATCCCACAAATAAAGTATTTTACAGTACACTCCAGACTACGTGAATGCAGCTCATGGTTAGGCTCTAGCAATGCTGTACGCAGTCATTTTCGGACAATCTATTCGTGGACACGAAAACAAAAAATGTAATAAATAAATTAATCACCCTATTTATAAATCATACTGAGAAAAAATTCGCGATTCTAATCAGTTGCCAAAATGTTGGTTGCACAGATTAGGCAAACAAATCCAACCCTAGTTAATTCTATAACACCAAGAAACAACTTTATGCATTATACACCAGAAATGGGCAAGATAGTCGTCGATATTACTTATTGGCCAAGACGCATATTGGTAGGAATGTACCTCGCGAGTACGCTGGCATCACAAATATGGTCACCTCACACAAGTATGAAATCATGTGCATTCTTACAGCACGCGTACTGTTATACCGGCAAAAATTGGAGTGGTTCAGTTGAATGGAGTGTAGTCTTCACTAGTGCCCATTGCGACTCTTATCAATAAAAATGCCGCACGTGCATTAAAGACGCTGACTTTATTAGTGTAAAGATTATGGGTGCAAGACGTCATGAGCTTGTTTACTCACGTTAAGTAAATAATAATAATAAGCCTGGCCAAACAAGAGAACCTGCATTCAAGTTTTCCAGTGGTAAAAGCACCAATATGATATGTACATTAAACACGTTAGGAATCATCATGCCAAATCAGAAGAGAAATCGTAATGCAGTTATTGGGGTCGTGATATCACGGTGACAAAACCCAAAGCTGCCTGATTGACGAATTTTCAGGTGTTTTTCTAAGGTATGCATGTCACAATCGAAATTTAAACGCATCGAGCAGCTCTTACTACGGGATTAGGGGACTGTGCTTTTGCATGAGCACACTACTTGAGTCCGACTCAGTAAAATAACCGAACGCCTGACATGGTTGAACTAACGATACGCTGCGAACAGGAAAACCTAATCCTGTATCTTTATTCTGGAGTAGTATGATTGCCATGACCCCAACTAGTAGTTACGGAAACCTCAGACAATTCTTACGACCTTCTGACGGAGAACATTCCGCAAGACACCGCCCTACCAGGACTTGAAGAACACCACAGATCTTGACGTTTTTTGTGTATTCTGATAATAGACAAGATTGGGGCAGGTTAATGGGCGCCGGGGAAAACAGATATAAAGGAGGAAATGGGAAAGAAGCGTGCTGGCAGTTAACAAGTACATATGTAACACACGCACCCGAAAAAAGTGCTACTTCGAAACGACAAGATTCCACTGTACTGGAGGCGAAGGAAGACGGAAGTGCTAGCGGGAATGTGAGGTGATGGGAGCAGAACTCGAGAGCGGGGAGAAACGAAAATGCAAGGAATAAGGGCTCAGCTAAAAGCGCGACACTGGCTCCTTCCATTCTACAGTTACATTGAGGAGCATAAAATCGCGGTTCAAAATATATGGATGGAATGGAAAAACAAGTAGCGACGATAACTGGCCAAGTGGAAGCAGCGGGTAGTAAAATTTTTGGCTTTTTTTTAGGAAAAGTTGATAGGAGCAAAACAAGTACTGGGTACCTAGTTTACAGAGGAATTGACTCAACGGAGGAATCAAAGTACAAGCACAAACACGAGCACACGTTGAGCAAGCCCCATTGAAGCTGCACTGAAAGATGTTGGTAAATGCAAATTTATGTACATAAGGCGTTGAAGGGCGTTTTCGCTAACGCACACTGGATAGTTTCCTTGTTTTTCGCATTTTTTTCATTTCTGTTGCATATTGACTATACAGGTGTTGACGATAATGGTAGCAGGAGAGCGATCACGTATAAAAAGCGGGATGAACTTGGCAACATCACGCGGAATATATGTACAGGAAGAGAAAATGAAAGGCTTTGATACAGTACCGCAAGTTTAGGGGAGAGATTCCGCCGGTAAGTCGTCAGCAGCCTTGTTTTCTGTGCTAATTGGACGGTTACTTGGTGGTCTATGAAGAGTGGCTCTCACAGAAATAGGATGACTTTTCTGATGAATAGTGGGTGGCGGCGGAACCGGGTTAGAAGATGCAGCCGATGAAACGAAGAAAGCACCGGAGGGCGCATTTCGCATCAGACTGTGATTGCTAGATGCTGGACCTGCAACCGCACCCGTAGATGATGGCTGAATAAGGGGAAAGTAAAAAGGCGGTTGCTGTACTCCATATGATAGCAAATGGGGAGGGGCGGTCTGTGGATAGCCCGCAGCAGCTGCTAAAACAGCCCTGTAATATAAGGCGTTATTGTCCGTAGTGATATTGTTTAATCCAGTAGTTTGATCACCAGCTGCTGCAGCAACCATTCCGGTGGGTGGGACGGCAGTAACATAGTAGGAGGGCAAACTTGGAATACCGGGATAAGGGAGGAGTTGTGGAGCAGGGAAAAAGTGGTTTCCATTAGGTTGTGGTCCAGCAGCAGAGTGAAGAGGAGCTCCTGGTGGCACCAAAATAGGAAGGTTACTCATCGTAACTGCTGGCAAAAAGATTGAAGGCGCAGGGTCTGCTTCAGTGATTTGATGTAACTCGGTTGCTTCGTTTGGTTTCACTGAATCTTCTGTAACAGAGGTTTTAGCCACAAATGCAGCATCGGAAGGACGAACCAAAGAAGAAGTCTGGGGAGCAACACCGATTGGCTTTTGTCCCTTTGCGCTATAGACGACGCTAACACTGGGGCTACTTACAATTGCTTCAAGTAATTCCTCCTCCGTGACGTTTACCCAGCGCAGGCGGTTAAAGGCGAGGAGAAGGGTGAGAGGGCAACTCTGATTATTTTCAGATAGGATAGACATAAGGTGTTGATCACGGTGCAAGTTGGCGTCGCTAAAGTAGTAGTCCCTAGAAGGAGTAAACGACAGTTCGATGACGTATTGGTTGACATGAAAGCTCAAATGTTTGGATGTGATCATTTGACTAAAGCCTAGGATCGAATTTAAATTTTTGTGCTACTTTAAACAAAAATTGAAAGGTAAAACCTTACTAGAAACAATGTAATGCCAATAGAGGGCGTTGTTAACGGTAGTCAATATCAGGAACTCCAGCAGGTGATGAAACAACGTGGTAATATTCTGACTAAATAACTAGAGAACTGGGAAAAGGAATCAATTGCTTGGTCGCATATTACATCGACCGGAAGTAGAGAACTGGAGAATTGACTAGGGTTTTCTGTATATGATGCCTAGCGTGGACTTAGCCCCACCCGACCGCCATTTATCAAAATCTCAATTGCGCCAAGTAGTAAAATCGGACGATGTCAAAACTTTGGGTTGTGACCCCACGGAGTAGTGAGACTATCTGGCTTGTAACAACCACTTGTTTACAATGGCGCTAAAATAAAATCAAGGAGCGGCAAGTGGAAAAGAGCAGAAGTAACAAAAAAGTTGAGTGAAATCGGCCTTTGGCAGGACATTGAGAAACAAAGTTGAACTTACACATGATGTCTAATATAATCATGTTTCGATTGTAGTTTTAGAAACTTTGTTAGATGTGCACTTCTTGGAACGAAGAAAACTTTATCATCGACAACAACTACGTCTTCCTTTTTTCCAGCAACGGAGTTGGAAGAAACCGAAGTTGAAATTTCCCCCGCAATATCTCCAGTAGCAGCGACCACACCAGCAGCCTGCATAGCCGCAGCCACTGTCGGATTACTTCTTAGACATTCCGGTATACGGGCTTTGGACCATCCTACTTCATCTATGTAATCAACCATCTGTTCGAGGGAGAGTACTTCGGCAGATGTGGTAGCAACGGCAGGAGGGGTAGCTTCAGGGGAGGCAAGGCACACTTGAGAGGAAGATACTTCCGGAAGGAGAACAGCGGCTTGCAGAGCGGCCGCGCTTCCGTCTAGAACAGCAGCCTCGGTGGAAGCAGGAACAGGCCCCGAGGGGATTGTAGGGATTGGAATTGCTGAAGGTGTGATGAGTGGCGAGCCGGGCATCATCATATTGGGGAACAAGTAGGTTACTACAACATTAAATATCAATGCATTTCATTATCAGTAGATACAAAGAGCGTGCTCTGAGTGGGTACACCGAACCACGGAATCAACCTACCAGGTGTAACGGGTCCGAGAGACGACATTGTCTGAGCAACAGCTGCGGCTGATTGATGTAACGCAGCCTCAGCAGTAGGTGCAGAAGGAGGGAGAGGCGGTGGGGGAGGGCCACCACTACTCTTCTGCATCAAATATCCACTGCCAGAATAACCACCCCCACGAACACCGGCTCTCCTCTGTCGAGACGAATAAGATCCACGCGGTGCGCCACTTGCGTAGACGGTAGCAGTAGGGAGCGGTTTTGGCGGAGATTCTGTGTGATTGTTCCCTTGAGGAACTTCGACTTCCTGGACCGGATCATGGTCTGTGCCACGCAAAATCTGACGAGGGTAGTAACCATTAAGAGGACGACCACCACGACCTCGGGAAAACGGACCATTTGCAGATGAACCACCTCTGCGGCCTCCACCGCCACGTGAAAGAGTGGATGCAGATTGATGACAGTTGGATTGGGATACGTTCGACTGACTTGAAGCTGACTGATGAAATCCACCGGCAGAATTCGAGGGCAGTCGAACACCTCCTCGACCACTATTACCTCCACGAGAACTGGGGTATTCAATATCGACATTTTGCCATTTTCGTGTGGGCTTTTCTAGAAAAAAAGGAGAAAAAAATAATTTAGACAAGCATTCCGATAGACGAATAACGGATCCGAATCGATACCATAGAGCGGCAGTGGCGTTTATCGTATCTCCCCAGTCAAAGATTGTCAAGAGTTAAAAATTGTGAAATGGCCCATCACATACCAAAACAAATGAATTCCTAATAATTATTTCAACGATCCTAACGGGACAATAATAATTACCGCCCGAAACTAAACTATATAACGACAAACATACAGAAAGTACTTACTACTTTTTGGTTTTTCATCAAGAGATTTAGGCCTCCCAGAATTTGATATCATTGAGCGGCGTTCAAATGGAGCTGAGGGCTCAGGCCAAGCATCAGCTTCAAACAATTTCTCGGTGGAGGTTGAATGGGGTTCAGCTGAATCCTGCTGTCGCAATGCACCCCCGGAAAACGTATTAGAGCTCGATACTGAGATTGGGCGCGATTTCCAAGGGTTTGGTTTTTCAGCAAGTGGGGAATCCCCCAGAACTAGAGCGACCCCAACAGCCCCCCCATTCAGTTCCACAGATTTTGCTTTTGTTGCAGAAGCATGGTTAGATGTAACTGCGAGGTCTGAGACCTTTGATGCCAACGAATTACTCATCTTAATTGCCTACAAACGAAAGAGGCATCTCAGTGTACAGAATAAAACCGTTAAAACAGAAAATGATCAAACTAAGACTTAGTAACTTTAATCTAAGAGCATTTTCTGTCTCATATTAAAGTTTTAGCTATCTCGAACAAACATGGAACAGTGGAGGCTCTGAAAAGTAATTAAATTCCATCAGAAAAGTTAGAAGAAAAACCTTTGGCAGTCATTTGGGAATGCTAAGGTGGTGGTGCAGAAACTTGGGTCAGGTTTACCAACCTTCTTGAAGAGCAGTGTGTCGCGTTAGAAGCCGTTCATCGGCAAAACTGGCTGATATGCACATAAACTCAGAGCTAACTTAAAATTATTTGTTAGACTATCATCGTTTAAAAGCCTTGTTAGGAATTGAGTGTCTTAACTGGAAAGTGTTATTGCTAATGATTGGTCTAAATGTAAAAGAAGCAAAATTAAATCAAAAAATAGCAATGCAAATGCTGTTTTCACATTAAACATCACTTGATTTATGATATAAAAACTGAGTGCATCAATAAGCACAAACGTATTCACAATCAGATGAGCGTCAAACCCACCGAAAGCCAAGAACCACGAAGTCGGCACTTGCCAGAAAAAGTGCCAGGCAAAAGCGCACAATTAATTTAAACAAAATACCAACCAATCAGTTCGGAAGCTATTAAAATTGTGCCTGAGAAAGCTAAACCATATATCGTATCTACGACACACTTGGTTCAAATTATGTTATTTTTTTATATTTTATTTGCAGTTTAGACTTTACAGTTTAATTAATTGTGACTTCTAGTGAAATACTAAATTATTTGTTTTAACAAATGCAGTCTCTTTTTACGGTTGTACAGAATAACATAAGGAATTCTATCTGAGTTATACAGTGTTTGTTTGAGGTAAAAATTTCTATGTGATTTTTCGGGGGATTAAGCAAACAGAAAGGGTAACTATTGGAGAATAAGGCGGCCTGAGGAAAATGATATAAGGACGAGACAAAAGTTAAAGATGTAATTAATGATAATTCAGTCTATGATAAAATTCGGTATGCAGAATACAAATGAAATTGAAACGAAGTGACCTTTGAGGGATGGTACGGAACCACACTGACACAGGGCGCAAACGGAAGATGAAGCATTGCAATTGTAACAAAATTTCAGGTAGCGAATTTGCCATGTCATCACAATACCGATAAAATTTGCTGAGAAATCTGATATTGTTCAATGTCCAGCTTGTAAATACTCGAACATAACTGATATGAATAAATAGGATTAAAAAATATAGCTCACAGATGATGCAAATGGTCTTAAGTGACAATGAGTCACCTCTCAAGAACTTTCATTTATATTCTCCAAATAATTTGGTAAATTCTTTTGTAGGAGACCTTTTTTGTAGTCTTTGTCGGCAACAATGACTGAATGCCAGCTGATGCATTTTCAACAAATCCCTGAATTTTTCTTATAAAAGATTGTTGTGGGCCCCAGCATGTAGTCTTGAACCACACAGGGGCCACGGAATTAACCCTGGCCCGATTACGCTTCCCTAATACCCGCGATGCAGAAAAAGAACGGAGAGGACGTAAACACAACCGTTTACTTCAGTGCTCAACCACGTTGGTGTCGTTGTGTCGTGTGTGGGGTTTGCGCGTGTGTATTTATAGGTTGGATGTGTGAGTCGCACATGCGCTAACATCGAGACCTATGTGCATGGATACTCTAAGATAAATATTCGTGCTAATGAAGGGGGAGTTGGGGATTCACGCGGCTGGTGACATGCTGCAACAAGGGGAACCCTGTGTAGAAGGTGGAGCAACCGGATTAAGGGGTTGAATAAACATGATTCACGACAAGATCCTGGTAATATTTTAAAGAGTCTACGACTAATAGTTTATTTAATTTGAAAACTGCTGCATCTACAGTGAGATTTAATAAAGTGTGCAGTGGTAGCCATTGCGCATTGTTGATAGATTCCGAATGTCATCTGCGGTTGTAGGAAAGATAGTCATAATTATATCATCTGGATAGTTTCGCCGTTTACTACTTCACAAATATATCGGTTTTGGTGACTAATGACTTGACTCACTAGAATTGATAATAGTATTTAAAATTTAGACAACGATTGCAGTTGTATAAACTTGTAAAGTAGTAGGCATAAATTCTGTGTTGCTTTTGATAACTTTAAGGAATTAATTTTAAACGTGCCTGCTAAATTCTGATGACCTCGACGTTTATGCTTACATGAGGTATTTCTTGCACACAATCTTTACCGCTTGTTCTATACTAAATTATGTGTAGCTTTAAAATGCTAAGTGTAATAATTATCCGTGAATAAAAATGAGTTATATCTACCGCGAGTACGAAGGAGATTAAGTAAAGCTCCTAAATGCCCATTCAGTTTAATGCAGGAAGTAACTCACTTAGAGTAAACTTTGAGGGCTTTCTCTTCCCGTGTTAACCTTGGATACCAAATACAAAAATTGTGTGCATTGATTGTCTTTCCACTAAAAATGATTTGATAATTAAGGATTGTTTACAATTTTATTTATCGGATAATAGTGCAAGAGATGGCCTGATCAAATCAATTTATTCATAGTTAGTAGATAACAGATTTTGTGATGCACTTAAAAATGTTTTAAAAAACCACACTTAGACAAGCAACTATTTTTCTAAAATGTGTGAAGTGGTATTTAATAATGGAAGCCATTAATACTGAAGACAATAATTTACGCCAAGGAGATTGTACATTGCTGCCGTCGTTTCCTACTGAAGCTTCTTTCTCCCATTTACCCTGACAGCAGCAATTTTGATATGACCAAACAGAAGATACTGCATTTTATGCGGGCGAGATGAATGCTCTACCACTATAATTTTCGGTCTCACATGTCAGTCTTGGTGGATAATGAATTCAATCGCTTTTTGTTATTACTTAGTTCAAATGTGGCCGACATCATTTAGTTAACTTAAGCACTACTAAAAAGAGTGAGATTGGTCAAATGCAGATCCCCCTTTGTAATAGTTGAAAATGTGTATATTAAAGGAACCGTTTTAAGTTGATTTCTGTGAAAGTTAACTTGGAAAGGTACTAAATAGTCAGATCTTGCCGCATTGAGGTGATTCACAAACTTGGCCAGTCATTTTCAACTAGAAGCACATGGGAAGTTTCCTAGAATTTGAGAAATTTAAAATAGTTTTAATGCTTTTTTGGAGTAAACGTTTATTTTCACGAGCACTCGAACACCTTGCAGATAAAAGTAATCAAACTAGCTAAATTGTGCCTGCTGTAAAATTGAGGTCACGCATTCCTATTTTTATTTCAAGGCTCAACAGCGGTGAATGTGTGTGTTCTCCAAAATCATGGCTGCAAAATTGAACTAGCCTACTTCAGCAACAGCAGTATCATTCAAGGAATATGTTGCAATTACAATTTCAAAAGGAACAATTATCAAGCCAATATGCCATAACGTCATCCCAAGTTAAGCCAATCAACGAAATCTTTGAAATGAAGATGCCACCACGTGCTTTCTCTCGCGTCGAAGCAAACTATCGATATCAAAATTAATAAAAGAAAATCAAAAACTTTCAAATTTACCACAAATCTTATTGACTCTATGTTACGTTTGCCCGTAACAATAGAGAAGACCACTCAAATAACGGTACCAGATCGCTTGCTGACAGCTAGAACCGACCTTCCCAGGCTAATACCAGAACAAGAACAGAGCTCGAGTAGAGAGCTTTATTCACGTGAGCCACGTGCAAAGTCGTGAAATCGAAAGTAATTTGAAAGCTATCTCAAGTCAAGGTTGACCTTGACTTGATAAAAGCGTAACAAAACAAA